TATACAATTATTGGTTCAGAGCACAAAAACAAACTGGGGAGCTTCTCGAACATAGAGCCATTACCGAACCACCTGCTAATTGCAGTCACTAATAATTTAATAATAGCAAATTGGATTCTTTCGGACTATCGCGTATACTCGGACTGTAAAACGCTGGACCCTACTGCACCCACGCGCTCCCATTATGTAAAGTAATTCAATAGGCTTATTGATATGTTTATTAGAATTCACATTAGGGAACCACAAGCGTATATAATTAATGAATTATTAATTATAAACAATTCATAACCATATGTGGCAAACCGTTCGCTCGCATAATAAATACACGTAATAATCCACATAATACACATAATAATACACTCAGGGAATATGCGGTCTGAATATTACTAGCTCTGATGAAGACCGCGAGCTGTGTCCAGATGCGCACCTATTGCCATCTACTGGTCGTAATCGAACGTGCAGAGTGACAGTATGTGTAACGCCTGCATTCACTGTCAGCGAATGCCAACGTAAGGAATTAAATACATATTTGAGCAAAGCGAATAAATGGAGTTAGTCATACATCTCGCATATAGCAGTAGAGCAAATGATGTGTATGTGCGTGTACGTGCGTGCTTGTGTGCATGTATACATCTACATATACTCTGTATGCAACTGCATCTATACATGCGCATATAACTGCGCCTATCAACTAACTGGCATGCATGCAATACAGAGTGTATACGTAATAGCAGGAGCTAATAATGACAAATCCTGGTAATAGTAAACGAAAAACTTCATGCAGATGGACTGAGTGAAAGTCCCGCTACTCTCGGACGAGTCGAACGATGAACAGCCGCATTATCTACATGTTTCCAAAAAATGAAAGATCGTCTGTGACCTCGTCACGTGACAGAACACGTCGCCATCTGTGGGCCACGCAGTATATATATAGATATATATTTATATATATATATATATATCGGCAGCATGTTATATTAGTCTTTGATGAAGCCTATTATTCAGGGAAGGCTAATGAAACTGTAGAATAGATGTCGAACAAACTGCAGCCGGTAAATAGTCGCTGCTCGCGCATCGGCGAGCAAACATGCATGCGCGCGCGCGTGTGTATATTTATATACAATAGCCAATACAAATATTAATAGTGATCCACGGTGACTTCTAATGCGAGTCATGTGCGTGCGCGCGCGCGTGCGCATTTCTTTTAACGTATATCTGTGCGTGCGTGCATGCGTGCGTATTTCTCTTAGCGTGTATCCGTGCGCACGTGCGTGCGTGCGTGCGTAAATGCGTGTGGCTCGTGCATCAATGAGTGCGTGTGGCAATATTGTTTTAATATTGTTTTCATTTACGTCTTGTTTTTAGCACCGTTGTTTTTTTCGCTATACGCTCTAGTAATCACAATACAGTATAGAATATGAACACGTAAAATTAAATCGATAGACATATTATATTTGCAACGTGTGGTTAACAATAATGCTGTATAGGCAGGAATTCAGCGGCGGTGAGGTTTATATATGTAGCCTTACTTCGCCAAGAGTCGCTGTTGCTACTAGCGATACATTTATTATACTAAGCCATAGTATGTAACAACGCACAAGCATGGTGCTCACGTTACCAATCGGTTAATTCAGTACTTATTATCAGCTATATAGCGCACGTGACCAGCGACATAACCCACATGACCAGTTACTAATATGACACGTGACCATTATATAACATATCTATATATATATATATATATATATATTTATATATTATATATATATAGTTCATTCATACGAATACATGTATAACCACCGCCTCGTCTAATAAACAGCGTGAATTTCGAACATGTGTATATATATATAATAATATCTATATACACCGCGTGTGCCCACGCAGCATTGCGGTAATGTATTGTGTAATTTTAATGCCATCGCTGCCAATAGATGGCGGTAAAGGACCACTAACTCGCGGGCACGCACCAATTCCTATCGCTACTTCCTCGACAGCATTAACACCGGTAGGGACCATGATGTTGTACGAAATGATTGCTTTCAAACAAACGAGATCACTCTGTTGTTTGCATCTTGGTAGCCGATGACTAGAGATTCTGTTGATTTAAACGTTGTTTACCAACTCGAACACTCGTACACGTTATAAAATTCGATCAATTATTTACACATGGGCCTACTCTCCACGCAAATTACGTTTTCTTGTCGAACTACGACTGCTGCCTCTTGACCTCGCAATGTGAAGGTGATAGATCCATGAAGAGTGTATAGCTGACATTCTATCACTACAACTTAAAGTCAATATGCAGTGCACGTAAAAAAACACACTACTAAAAAACACAGGTGCCTACGGCTATCTATCGGGACACAACCTAATCATAAAACCAAATATGGCATGGCTGATACGTACGCACGAACTAAAACCCTTTATATAAAAGTGTGGAACTTTTCACACGCGCGCACGCACGCACACGAGTACGTACCACGTGGGTTCTCGAGGATTTCTTGAAATTGAGCATCGCCACCTGGTGGCCGATACCAGAAGATGATCAAGAGCCCAATTAGTATATGCATACTGAGTCCACATTTGAATATTAAAGAAGACAATACGATTGTTTTGATGTGCTTATCTATCCAAATAATACAAACACAAGTGACAATATCGGTGATCGACCATACAAAGTGAGCAGCCTTGCCGAACACAAAATTAACAGTGTTACCCAATCCAATCAATAGATATGAAGACGTCAGTGTATTTACCTCGCTACGATATTCCTCCCACTGGAAGGTTATATATTTCCCGTAGGAGGAAGATTGATACATAGAATGCGCCACAGGCTCGTACATAATCCTGGCCAGTAGTAGTGTTAACCTGCACCCCAGTGCGAGTGGTCACCGAATAAAAAATAAAGGGTGGAGCATGATCGGGAAACTACGATAGCAAACGCAGACAAAATCACGCACGTACGCACGCACGCACGCACGCACGCACGCACGCACGCACGCAAGGCGATCATGAAACGTCCTTGAAATGCAGCCGGAGTGAACGATTCGGGAATAAAACGTGCGGTAAAGAGGAAATCGACCTGTTTTTCACATACCAACAAAGCTATTAATTTAGTAACTGTTGCGCACATTTTCCCTGGCATTTGAACACAAACGGATTTGCCCACGCAGAACTTTATTCATGCATTGGAACAATAAAAAGGAAACTAGGTTCATCCCAACAGGATATAACGGTGTCTGTGCATTTCCCGACGCAGCTGCCATCCAGTAATTATTAAAATGGTTAATTATAATTATTACTGGTTTCTGGAATGTAGGTAATTAGTAATACCATAAAACATAAAAAACTTGTAAAATAAAAACATTCCTACTGTGGGGTGTATTCTTATACAATGGGCAGACACTGTAAAAGTATCGGATTAGAATCTTTGATTTCAACAAAAATGTTAACAAACTATTTAGCTTCTAGTACAACTACAAGATCAATCAGCTCGTACGAGGCTCAACTTAATTGCAAAAAACGCCCATTGAAATACCCTTGCAACCTCACGGATTTCAGGGAAACATTCGGCAATTTTGATAAATAGTCTTAGAGTGATGAGTCAGCCGACATCAGAAACCAATCAGGTTTTAGCAAGTACACACAGGGATCAATCAGGCGCTCGTGCATATCCTTTGCTCGATAGCACTTGAAGTCCACTCGACTTGAACAGCTGCTATAGTTCAACATAGGTTACAGGGAAGAGGGTTGAACCTACTTACTCCACCTCCCAAACATTCCCACAGACAATTTAAAAAACCCCTATCAGGCACCCTGATACACATTTTTACTTGGGGCATAAAGAACGAATAACATTTATCTTAAAAAATATTGCTCGTTGAAACAAGGATAATAACCGAATCTGTAACTGAATCTATAATCCTAAGTGTCAGTTCTACAAGTTTGTTTAGCGAACAAGCTTTTAGGCCACATTGTCTGGGAAATATGGCGACTAACTAAATAACGTTACCCCGTATCTCACAGCAGGGAAGGATCAACAAGGGTAAGACCAACAAGGCATAAAGTAGACGGACAGGGTGTACGTATACACTACATGTATCCTTTCTGCAGAAATGGAAACTGTACGTCAACTACGTAACATATAATTCCCCTTCCCACTTCAACCGGACAACATCAGCCCTCCCTCCATCCTCCTTCATACACTTTCAGCCCTCCCTCCCACATCAATCCTCTCCTACCCCGTTTCCCACTTTCATGTCAGTCCTCTCTCCTAACTCATCAGCCTCTCCCACCTCATTCCACTCTTTCACTCTATCTATCCATCCCTCCAATCTCACCTTCTTCGCACATCATCTCTGCGTGTCGCAACTTTCTTTCCCTCATACATTATGTTCCTTCCACCTCTCTCCCATAGCCTCTCACCTCCTCCCAAACCTCATGAGTGTTCCTCCATCATATGACAGTCTCCTCCCACCCCTCCCACTTACACATCAGTTCAGCCTCCCACCATATCCTCCTCCTTCCTCCTCACCCCCTCACACATTAGCCTCCTCCCTATCCAGCCTCCTCCTCTTCCCTTCCCCCTCTCCCATTCTGCTACTCCCTCCTCCTCCCCTCTCCCTCTGACCTCCCCCGCCCTCCTCTTCTCCTCCTCCCCTCCTCCTCCTCACACCTCCTCCTCACACGTCAGCCTCCTCCTGCCCGAGATCCTCGAACGACGACCCAGTGCTCTGCTCCCGTTTAGCTCCCTCCTCCTCCTCCCTCCTCCCCCTCTCACATCCTCCTCCCCCTCTCCCTCTCACCTCCTCCTCCTTCTCCTCCTGCCCTCCTCCTCCTCACACCTCCTCCTCACACGTCAGCCTCCTCCTGCCCGAGATCCTCGAACGACGACCCAGTGCTCTGCTCCCGTTTAGCTCCCTCCTCCTCCTCCCTCCTCCCCCTCTCCCTCTCACCTCCTCCTCCTTCTCCTCCTGCCCTCCTCCTCCTCCTCCTCCTCCTCACACGTCAGCCTCCTCCTGCCCGAGATCTTCGAACGAGGACCCGGTGCTCTGCTCGTTGCCATTGCGGCTCTCCGGACTCGGGGTTCGTGACCTCTCGGCCCGCTGCACCGCCGCCGCCTCGCTCTCTGGCGTCCCGCTGCCACTCGTGCTGCCCCCTGCTGGCTCGCCGGGCGGCGTCGGTCGCTGCGGCGCGTCCGTGTCGACGCGTTCCAGACTCTTGCTCTCCTCACGGCTCTGTGACAAGGGGAACGAGGTCGGTAAAACCCGGATACCTGCGCACGCTATGTCTCTCATCACAGTAACCAAACAATAGTGAGAAATAACTATCAATAGTGAGAAATAACTATCAATAGTGAGCAATTCTAAACTTCTCTACCCCATGGTTCCATGACAAAGGGAACAAGGCGGGTAATGAGGAGGGGTTGCACACTGATACTTGCGCACGCTGTGTCTCACCACAGTAACCAAACAATAGTGAGAAATTCTAGACTCCTCTATTGCTCTCCTCGCGGCCCTTAGTTATCTGTGCAAATGGGAGTGAGGCGGGTGAGTCTCTGATACACGCTGATACCCATGCATGCTCTGTGCTGCAGCACAGTAAGCAAACAATATTGAAGTGAGGAATTACTACTCCCCCCCTACGAGGAAAAGGCTAGCTGATTTGTGAAAAATAATGTTGAAGTGCAGGTCTGATTTGCAGGAAATCTGCCAGTAGATTGCACTATCAGATAATTAAGTTGGGATATTAGAGTTATAGTTACTTATTGGTAACATCGGGGCTTATTGGTATCGTACGAATCTCACCTCTTAATTCTCCCTTTCTCTTCCGTTCTCAATCTCTCTCGCTCTCTTTTCTCTCTCTCTCTCCCCCTTTGCTTTCCTTCTGTATCTTTCTATCTCTCCCCATTTCTCTCCCCCTTCCTCTCCTCCCTCCCCCCCTCTCTCTCTCTCTCTCTCTCTCTCTCTCTCTCTCTCTCTCTCTCTCTCTCTCTCTCTCTCTCTCTCCCTCGCATCCCGCCCGCCTTCTCTATCCTTCCCTCCCTCTGTGTCGCTCCCTCATCTCTCTCGTCTCTTCTCTATTCTCTCACCACTGCCCTTGTCCTCCTGCCACGCGGACGGTCTTTCCCAATCGCACTCCGCCGGGCCGCCCTCGCGCCTACCCCCCCCCCCCAGGCGGGCCACCCGCGCCCGCCCGCCCCCGCAGCCGCTCGACCAATCAACAAACCAGCCGTCCGTCGTACGCGCTTCTCTCTAAGCGTCCCCAACCAGAAGTCACTCAACACACCCAAACAGAATCGCGTCGGCTGTCCGTCTGCTCTAGATCCCGCACTCGGCGACAGTAGATACTGCTTCCTGCTTGGCGGATCGAGCGCAATGAAGTGATTCGTCGACACCTTCGAAAGATCTGCAACATCTCGGATCGCGGCCACAGTCTGGGACTCTATCCCTGTCGGTGCAAGTTCATTTGTTGACGTGGTTTGAAAGAAGAAATAGGAAGCGACTCAATACCTGGTTGACTCTATTCTACACGAGGAAGAAGAAGAAGCTACTGCTTCAAATACTGGGTGGCTTAGCACGGAGAGAATGAACAAGAACTAACTATCCATAACTGGGACTATAGCAAGGGGACCGAGGAAAAGCAAGAAGCTACTCAATAGCTGGTTGACATTACATCGAGGAGAGCATAAGAAGAAGCCTACCTCCAATAGGACTCTTACAGGAGGAAGAAGAAAGAAGCTACGTCATACTGTGACCTCATACATGGAGAAGAAGAAGAAAAGCTACGTCAAATACTGTTACTTCACAGGTAAAGAATAAGAAGCCTGACTTCAATACTGTGACTCTACAGGGGAAGAAGAAGAACTACTCCCAATATTCAATAACTGTACTGCCTACACGGGAGAAGAAGGAAGAAGCTATCGTCAATACTGGTGCCCCGCCCCCCCCTGATGTCTACTCAGGAGAAGAATAAAGAACTACTCAAACTGGTGCAACTTCTACAGGGAGGAAGAAAAGAGCTACTTCATATGTGACTCTACAGGAGAAGAGAAGAAGCTACTCAATACTGTGACTCAACACGGAGGAAGAAGAAGAAACTACTGCAATACTGGGTTGACTCTACAGGGAGGAAGAAGAATAAGCGTACTCCAATATCTGTGACATCTAACAGGAGCGAAGAAGGAAGAAGCTACTTCATATACTGGTGACTTCTACAGGGAGGAAAGAACAGAAGCTACTCAAGACGTGATCTACCAGGGAAGGCAAGAAAAGAAAGCTACGCCATACTTGGGACCGTTCTATCTTTTATATATATAAACGAAGAAGTCTTACCTCAAACTGGTGACTCTACAGTTGGAGAAACGAAGAAGAAGCTACTTCAATAACTGGTGAACCTACAAGGAGGAAGAAGAAGAAGCTACTCATACTGGTGACTCTACAGGGAGGAAAGAAGAAGTAAGCTACGGCAATACGGCTGACTCTATACCTGGGAGGAAAAGGAAGACAGTCTACTCAAGACTGGTCGGACCTACTAAGCAGGGAGAAGAAGAATTAAGCTACTACAAATACCTGGTGACTCTACAGGCTGAGGAAGAAAGAATAAGGCTACTCAACTACGGTGACTCTACAGGGGAGGACTAGAAGAAGAATCACTCAAATACTCGTGACTCATACAGCCCAGGAAGGAAAAGAAGCTACCAAAGTACTGTCAGACTCTACAGGGTAAGGAAGGAAGAAGAACCGCCTACTCAAGTTACTGGTGACCTACAGGAAGGAAGTAAAAAAGCCTCGCCACCCCCCCCCCCTAAAAAACCTCAAAAAATACTGGTGACTCCTACACGAAGAATAAACGACAGAAAGCTACTCGAATATGGTCGACCCTATCAGGTGAGTGAAGAAGTAAAAGCACTCAATTACTTGGTGACTCGCATCAAGATGAATAAGAAGAACTAGCTCATACGGTGAACTCCTACAAGGAGGAACGAAAAGGAAGCTACTCAATACGGGTGGATTCTACAGGAGGAAATAGAATAAGCTACTCAATAACTAGGTACGTCTACAAGGAGAAGAAAATATACTACTCAATACGGTGACTCCTATCCAAGATGAAGAAAGAAGAAAAGCCCGCCTACTCCCAAATAACGGTGACTCTACAGAGAGTAAGGAAGAAGAAGCTACTCATACTAGGTGACCGTCTAGCAAGGAGAAGAAGAAGAATCACTCAATACTGGTGACTCTACACGGAGGAAGAAGAAGAAGCACTCGCACAATACTGGTGACGTTCTACAGGGAGGAAAAGAAAAGGCTACTCAATACTGTGACTCTACAGGAGGAAAGAAGACAAACTACTGCAAATACTGTGACTCTATCAGGAGAAGAAAAAGAGAGCTACTCAACTACTGGTTGACTCAACACGGAGAAGAAGTATAGCAAGCTACTCAATACTGGTTGACTCTAACTAGGGAGCAAGAAAAAGAACTACCAATACCCGTGTCTACAGGAGGAAAAGAAGAATGCTACTGCAGATACTGTGACTGCCTACAGGGATAAGAAAAGAAGCTACTCAAACTTGTGTGACATTCTACCAGGGAGGAGATATAAAAAGCTACTCAAATACCTGGTGACACGCTACAGAAGCGAAAAAAGAAGAAGCTCCATATAACTGTGACTCTAATAGAGAAGAAGAAAGCTACTTCAATACTTGTGACCCTACAGGAAGGAAACGATAAAGCGACTCAATACTGTGACTCTACAGGGAGGAAAGAAGAATTAGCTTACTCAAATATGTGACTCTACACGGAGTAAGATAAGAACTCTACTCAATAGCTGTGACTCTACATGGGAGGAAAAGAAGAAGCATACTCAATACCTGTGACTCACACGGGAGAGAAGAAGAAAAGCTACTCAATACTGTGATCTCTATCAGGAGGTAAAAGAAAAGCACCTCAATACTGGTGACTTTTCTACACTGGAGGAAGAAGAAAGAAGCTAGCTCAGGGTACGGTGACGATCACACGAGAAGAAGAAGAAAGCTACTCAAATTACTGGACTCTACAGGACGAAGAAAAAACTAACTTCAATTATCTGGTGACTCACATGAGAACGAAAAAACTACCAATACTGTGACTCTACAGGAAGAACGAAGACAGAAAGAAGAAAAGAAGCACTCCCAAATACGTCAAAGCTTGGCCCTTCTATGGAAAATTTCAAGTTTTAATGTGGCGTTAATATACTTAAAGCATGCCTTAATTACCCCAAATTACATAGAACCACCGCGCGAAAGTTACTGCAGTTCGTTACTTCTGTTGAAATGTGGACAACTTCCTGACTTCTTATGAAGTTTAAATAAAAAATTTGGCGTCCATTTTGACACAAAAAAAAGTACCCATACCGCCCGCTAAGGCTTTATTCCGTTTTTGGCATCAATCTACAAGAATGACTCAAATGAAACCAAAACGCCAAGGAAAATCGCAAAATATGCAGAACCAATCTCATGCCTTGAACAGAAGAAGCTGCTTGATACTCCAATATTGCATGCTGTGACTCAACAGAGGAGAAGAAGAGTGAGCTTACAATTCGATACCCCGTATAGACCGAAAAATTATCCTACATAAAACTATCCCGTCCCGCGATTGCCACCCCGCGCTAACACCAACAACGTACACACACAAAAATGCTGGAACTGGGGTAATTAGCACGGTGACTAGTGCCATGCCGCAGTTTAGCATTGTTACGTGCACTCCGCAACAGCTACTTACTTTGGAGAACGAGAGAAGAGAAGGCATAGCACTGAGAAGATCACTGCTACCTGAAACAGAATAAGCTGCTTGATACTCCAGTATCTGAAGCTGAGTTATAAAAATCGGATGACAGAAGAAGGTAGAAAATAATAAAGAAGGAAGAAAAATTATATCAGGATAATATACGACGTGTGTATATTCTGCACTGCTTGACTGCTCTGGAAAGAGGAAGTCATGCCCACTAGTGACTCTAATGACACTATATATCCCTAGAATCATCAGGTCAAAGTCAACTTCCAAGAACCTCCCGAATCTGCTCGAAAATGTGGCTAGCATTAGTTACGTCACAGCTAAATAGGGTAGAGTTCTAGTATGGCTTGGATAGCATTAGTTATGATTAGATACGGAAAAGGGATAAGGATGAAAGTATGAATATAGCTGATAACAGAAATGGGAAATATATTGAAGAGATACTAAGATGAATCCGGAATATAACCTAATAAATGCAACATTATGTCAACTATATTACCTTGAAAACGGCCATTAACTATGCCTGTCCGGCAGCTCATGGCAAATTATATAGAAACACAATTAAGTCATTTGCGAAATAATCCAAATCTGGTCTATCGCAATTTCCAACGTACTATAATTCTCCAAAGTCGGATTACACTCTTGACCCGGCGATGAAAGACGAGATGATGGTCATTGTAAGGGAAATGTCTGTCAACAGCGGAGTGACGACGGAAAACGATCAAACGAAAACCCTTCGACGTTAGAAATGTCATTGAGTTCTGCGGAGTTGCTGCCTCTGCGATATTGCGCCTACGATGGTAAGCGAAGTTGCTGCCGACCTCATTTCAAACATCATTGTTATCGTGACACACAGCTTGAGCAGTGTTGCAATGCAAGCATGAATCGCATATACAGTAGCAGGTCCCTCAGGATGAAATCAAACAGGAGGGAGGGTAGGCGAGGGTGGAAGGGGGGAAACAGGGGGAGGGGAAATCATAGTGAGTCCGGGGACTTATTTTACCCGATCACTAATAAGCGTTAAAATCGCCACCGATCATCACATAGCACGTATTGGGTCTGTCATAAAAATAGCCGAGTCAGTTGTACAGTTATTACAGGTTAACTATGCATGTCAGTTAACTTGTCTACTGTCTGCCTGCATACGTGGTAGCCGTAACAAACACGCGTCGGTGGTACCACTGGTCGAATGGCATTCTTGGCGGAATCGCGCGGGTGTCCTGGTCGAAAAACGGCAATTCTTGACAGGTCTAATTTCCGCTGGCGCCGGCAAACTTTTTATTGTGGTGGAATTTAAACGGAAACGACCGGCGCAACGACAAACCAGGAGAGTTTTCCCAAACGGGACGCAGCGCGCGGAGCCCCGTTGAGCAACGAGAAACCCTGAATATAATCATTAAATGTAGCGTTTACAGCTATAAGTAAGTTCTAGAACATGTAAACGAAACAATTAAAAAAGACGGTTTCTACCTATCATATTGTTAACCTGATCGCTGCTGTTGTTGTTGTCACCACAGGCACTTTGAACGTATCAATAAAATATAAGCTAAAAAATACAAATCATTACTACCAAATCCTAATGTTTTATACTCCTTCACCTATTATTTCGGACATTGCCTTAAATTCCGGTCGCAACCTATGTGCAACAAACACTGAACTGCCGCCATTGTCCCTCCCGACTGCAGTGTGCACGACTGACACTTAATATAAGTAGCAGGTAATAAAGCGGAATCCAAAATCGCATGTCGACAGCCGCTTAAAATATTCACACTTCACATAGCCACAATACACATCAACAGCTCCATCTTGTATCCTCTCAAGAACATGCTTCACTGTTTCCTTCTGCATATCTGTCTCGTGCACTTGTAGTTAAACAAAACATACTCTCTGTTACGTAACGCAGGACTCTGTCACGCGAAATTCAACCACAGACGACAAAATTCTCAGCGTCGCGAAACCTTGCCCAGTAAAATTTGTAAATGGCTGTCAGAATCAGAAACACCCACTCGACCTCTATCTGACCCAATCTTGGCGCCACAACTGCTGCAACGTTGCAAACGCCGCACTCGAAGGGCTCGTAACGGAGTGGAAAGAGTGCGCCGCCTGCGCGCCGCCTATAGCCAATGGACTGCCTCGCACCACCTTTCGACTAGCTATTACTCGGGGAATCGGGGGCGAAGGCGGGGGGGGGGCGGGGGGGGTGGAGTGAAAAAGCTCCGAGTATAACCTTTACGCAGCCATTTACATCACTTGGGTTAAGGTTACGAACAGCAGAGAATATCAAAAGTCTTGGGTTATTTCGGCTGACACAGCTCGTACGAACAAACAGTATGTTTTATAACCAAGTGAACACTGTCTAAAAGAAACAAAGAAGCTCTTGATGTGTAATCGTGCTGGGGCTGAAAAGGTAAATCAGACAAGGCTCAAAGCTAATTTGCTATCCCGCTTTCCTACTTTATATAATAAGTGCAGTGTCATGTGTTGCCAAACTGAAATGCTTTTGCACAACTGGAATTCCATGCAGCATACCGCATTGAGAATCAACCCAATCTTGAAGATGGAAACAGAGGTAAACAGCTTGCACACACATGATTATTTAAGATTCAAATGTTATATCAAATCACTATACAGCGTAATACCTTCTTCCTGCAATTGTTTGGCACCTTGTAATAAATATTAAAATATTAAATAAATAAGATCAATATAGATAAATCTCTTCAGTTTGCACCAGCCGCACACCACATTACACTCGCTATGCAGCGTTCGTGAATCAACCGAACTGTTTCAGTTGCCGCAATCGATGAGATTGTATCCAAACCAGGAACATCCGCATTTTGGACAGCACAATCGCGCATCAAATTCCGAATTGTGAAATTCCAAAGTTGGTTAACATTCATCACGCAGCCTGCTGGGATATGCGCAGAGTGTGGTGCAACAAGACTTTGGACGAATTACAAGAAACTGTCGCAATAATAGGTGA